GGGGGGGGGGGCTGGCGCAGGTTCCGCCAGCTCTGGGGAAGTGCTTCACTCCCTGGCTCTCATGTGGGGGAGCAGAGCACTTCCCCGGAGCCGGCAGAGCCTGCGCCAGGCTCCTGCCCCCACCTCTCCTGGAGTGTGGCCTTGAAAAGGCTGTATGCGGCCACACTTTTAGTTGTGCGCGGCCGCGCACGCGCGCTCCTTAGAGGGAACCTTGGCCCTGACCTCACTGCTGCCCCTGTGTGGAGCCTGGGCTAGGCTGCTGTGTGGCTCATCTGCGCTACCCCCGCTGGGTAGCCCAGAGGTGGTGGTGACAGCAGTGGAGCCACAGGGCAGCCCAGGATAGGCTCCATGCAGCTGTTGCCGGAAGCACTGGGCAGCTGCTGCAGGAAGCACTGGGCAGCAGCAAGCGGGAGGGGCTGATTTTCCCCCATGCCAAGCACACTTCTGTACCACTGGCGCTGCTGCTGCAGCTGCTCAGTGAGCTGGCGAATCCACAGCGGGTGTGGGGTGGGTTGGAACTGCACACAGGTCCCTGCCAGTACCACAGGGCTGGGGTCAGTAGCTGTCACTGCCTGGGTTTCCTAGAAAGGCAGTCCAAAGCAGAGCTGTGCCAGCCCCGCTGCGTGCCTAGGGGTCAGCAGGATACGCCACAGGAGAGCAGTGCAGAGCAGGCGCGAGGGCTGGGTCAGGGCTGCGTGCATGGTCTGGCTGATCCATAGAGTTCATAGACTTCATAGACATTAGGGCTGGAAGGGACATCAGAAGATCATCAAGTCCAGCCCCCTGCCCCAGAGGCAGGAAGTCAGCTGGGGTCAAAGGATCCCAGCAAGATAAATGTCCAAATGTTTCTTAAAGGAGTCCAGAGTAGGTACTTGCACCACCTCTGGAGGCAGTCTATTCCAAGCCTTGGGGGCTCGGACAGTAAAGAAGTTTTTCCTTACGTCCAACCTGAAATAGCCTTGGAGGACCATTTGACCTTGTCGTCCCTTGGGGCACTTTGGTGAACAGGCATTCCCCCAGATCCTAATATATAACCTCTTATATACTTATAGGCAGCCACCAGGTCCCTGCTGAGCCTGCGCTTTTCCAGGCTGAGGAGTCCTACGGCTCTCAGCCTTTCATCATAGTAACTGTTCTTCTGCCCTCTGATCATGTGCATGGCTCTCCTCTGGACTCTCTTGAGCTTTTCCACATCCTTTTTAAAGTGTGCAGCCCAGAATTGGATACAGGACTCCAGCCACAGCCTCACCAAGGCTGAGTCTAGCAGGAGGATGACATTCTGGGATTTCCTAGCGAAGCATCTATGGATACAAGCCAGAGTTTTGCTCACTTTACCAGCTACGACATCGCAATGGTGGTTCATATTCATCTTGTGGTCAATCATGACCCCAAAGTCCCTTTCGGCTGTGGTGCTAGCAAGCGTAGCACTGCTGAGCCTATAAGTGTGCTGTGGGTGGAGTACCTTGCATTTTTTCGGTGTTGAACACCATCAGGTTTTCATCTGCTCATTTTCTGAGCCTGTCAAGGCCAGCCTGGATCACCAGCCTATCCTCAGGTATGGATACTTTACCCCAAAGTTTGGTGTCGTTGGCGAACTTGACCAGTCCTCTTCCGACACCCATGTCTACATCATTAATAAAGATGTTAAAAAGTATAGGTCCAAGGATGGAGCCTTGGGGGACCCCACTGGTCATGGAACACCATGATGATTTATTTCCATTACTACTCTCTGGGTCCAACCTTGGAGCCAATTCCCCAGCCATCAGACTGTGATGTAGCTGAGGCCACAGTTGGCCAATTTTTCCATAAGGCGATCACGGGACACCAGATTGAAGGCTTTTTTAAAATCAAGGTATATAACATCAATCTCTTTTCCCTTGTC